GGCGCGATCTCGGCTCACCGCAACCTCCGCCTCCTGGGTTCAGGCAATTCTCCTGCCTCAGCCTCCTGAGTAGCTGGGATTACAGGCACGCGCCACCATGCCCAGCTAATGTTTTGTATTTTTAGTAGAGACGGGGTTTCACCATGTTGACCAGGTTGGTCTCGATCTCTCGACCTTGTGATCCACCCGCCTCGGCCTCCCAAAGTGCTGGGATTACAGGCTTGAGCCACCGCGCCCAGCTTGATTTTTTTTTAAGACCAAGTGGCATGATCTCGGCTCACTGCTACCTCAGCCTCCGAGGTTAAAGCGATTCTTCTGCCTCAGCCTCCTGAGTAGCTGGGATTACAAGTACACGCACCTTGCCTGGCTAATTTTTGTATGTTTAGTAAAGACAGATTTTCACCGTGTTGGTCAGGCTGGTCTCAAACTCCTGACCTCAGGTGATCCACCCACCTTCGCCTCCCAAAGTGCTGGGATTACGGACATGAGCCACTGTGCCTGGCCAAGAAAATGGATTTTAAGGGCAATTCAAATGCCTAGGAAAAAATTGATTAAGTACTTGCAGAAGAATGTTTTTATTATCAAGAAGGTATAATGGAAAAGATGTAACTTGAAATCTGATGGCTTTAGTTTCAAATCTCACCTTTACCACTCAGAAATTGTAACATTGTTGAAATTATTTAGCCTTAGAGTATTACTTTCCTTATCTGAAAGTAAAAATTATAACGTGTACCTTGCATATTTATTCTGAAAGTTGTTGATATTATTATTATCGTTATCATACAGTAATCACAGGCTGTGAAATAAAAGATGGATTTTAAACATTAATTTCAAAGTATAGGCCGGGTGCGGTGGCTCAAGCCTGTAATCCCAGCACTTTGGGAGGCCGAGGTGGGTGGATCACGAGGTCAAGAGATCGAGACCATCCTGGTCAACATGGTGAAACTCCGTCTCTACTAAAAATACAAAAAATTAGCTGGGCATGGTGGCGTGTGCCTGTAATCCCAGCTACTCCGGAGGCTGAGGCAGGAGAATTGCCTGAACCCAGGAGGCGGAGGTCGCGGTGAGCCGAGATCGTGCCATTGCACTCCAGCCTGGGTAACGAGTGAAACTCCGTCTCAAAAAAAAAAAAAAAAAAAAAAAATTTCAAAGTATGAAGCTTGGCAGGTGCAGTGGCTTACGCCTGTAATTCCTACACTTTGGGAGGCCGAGGCGGGTGGATCATGAGGTCAGGAGATCAAAATCATCCTAGCCAACATGGTGAAACCGTCTCTACTAAAATACAAAAAATTAGCCGGGCGTGGTGGCACGCACCTATAGTCCCAGCTATTCGGGAGGATGAGGCTGGAGAATCACTTGAACCCAGGAGGCAGAGGTTGCAGTGAGCTGAGATTGCACCACTGCACTCCAGCCTGGTGACAGAGCGAGACTACATTTCCCCAAAAATAAAGTAAGAAAGAAGGAAAGAAAGCTCTTAGACATCATAAAAGGATAGCAGTTGATAAACTGTTAAAAACCAATACTTGGAGAAGTTAGGTTGGCCATGCTAATGAGAGATAATGAAGGGAGATGCTAATAAATATAATAAGGAGTTTAAACACAATATTTTTTTTTTTTGAGACGGAGTTTCGCTCTTGTTACGCAGGCTAGAGTGCAATGGCACAATCTTGGCTCACCGTGACCTCCACCTCCTGGGTTCAGGCAATTCTCCTGCCTCAGCCTCCTGAGTAGCTGGGATTACAGGCACGTGCCACCATGCCCAGCTAATTTTTTGTGTTTTTAGTAGAGACGGGGTTTCACCATGTTGACCAGGATGGTCTCGATCTCTCGACCTCATGATCCACCCGCCTTGGCCTCCCAAAGTGCTGGGATTACAGGCTTGAGCCACCGCACCTGGCCTTAAACATAATATTGATAATTATCCAGTCTTTAATACTGAGAGTGGAATACAGAAGTCAAAAAAAAAAAAATGAGTCTTATCTCATGAACTAAAACAGAGTAGTCCAAAGGGTATCCATATTTTTATAAAAAGCAAAAACAAAAATCTGACTTATAAGGATAAATATTTCAGAGACTAGTCTTCCCTAATACATATTCTCCTCTTGAAATCTCTGCTTTTTAGCTGGGCATATTGCCTCTTAGGACAGATAGATCTAGCATTCTCTGCCATTTAGTGTGACCATTTGACTATATTCCGGCAAATAACATGCAAACAGAGGTATTCTCTGAAACCTTTCAGGAAATTTCTTTAAGGACACCAGGCATATGCCCTTTGCCCCTCCCCACTTTATCTCTTTATTCTGCTGCTTGGAACACAGACGTAATAGCCAGAGCTACGTATGAAACTATGAGAGTGAAGGCCTTGTCATCAAGAACTGTGAGGCTAAAAGCAGGAAGAAGCCTCATTCCTAGACTTTGGGATAACTACTATACCTGCCCTATATTGACTACCTCTGGACTTTAAACTTTGTCTTATTTAAGCCACTATGCTTTGGGGTATGTTTAACTGATGTAATCATTATGGTTTATTTTCTAAATGAGACTCATATTCCTTGTTGTTACTCCCAAAAAAGCAGTGACACTTTATCTCCCAGAAAGTTTTTTTCCTAATACTAAATTCTACAGTTTTCCTATGCATTTCCTTATTTAATACCTAAAGTTGGGGCTGGGCGTAGTGGCTCACACCTGTAATTCTAGCATTTTGGGAGGCTGACGCCGGTCAATTGCTTGAGATCAGGAGTTGGAGACCAGCCTGGCCAACATGGTGAAACCCTGTCTCTACCAAAAAATACAAAAATCACAAAATACAAAAATGCCGGGTGTGGTGGCATCTATCTGTAATCCCAGCTACCAAGAGGCTGAGGCACAAAAATCTCTTGAACCCGGGAGGCAGAAGTTGCAGTGAGCCAAGATCATGCCACTGCACTCCAGCCTGGACAATAGAGTGAGACTCTTTCTCAAAAAAGAGAAAAAAGAATAATAAAGTTGGAGGAGAATAGCAAAGCGAATTGAAGAATACATGTTGTAGAGTCAGACAGACTTGGATTCAAATTCTTATTTTCTCATTTATTAGCTATTTAATCTGGGACAAGGTTCTTAACCACTCTCCAATCTTGATGTTGAGATAACAGATCTAAAATATCTGGTACCTAGTAGGTTCCCAGTAAATACTCCATTTTTTCTAGTTGAATTTTAAGACCCAGTTCAAATACTATTTCCTCAAACATATTTCTTTAATTTCCTACTTAGAAATTGCTGTGGACTGAATTGTGCCCTCCCTACCAACTTCATGTATTGCAGCCCTAACCCCAAATAAGACTGTAGTGGGAGATAGGGTCTTGAAGGAGGTAGTTGAAATTAAATGAGGTCATGAAAGTCAGGCCCTAATCTAATAGGTTGGGTGAATTTATAAGAAGAGAAAGAGATACCAGATATGCTCATGCAAGCAGAAAAAGCCATGTGAGAACACAGCAAATGGCATCCATTTGCAAGTCAAAAAGAAAGGCCTCACTGTAAACCAACCAATCCTATTGGCACCTTGATCTTGGACTTCTAACCTCCAGAACTATGAGAAAATACATTTCTATTGTTTAAAACACCTCAGTCTGTGGTATTTTGTAATGGAAGCCCTATCAGACTAATAAAGAAATCCTTAAAACATACCAATTTGTTAGGTCTCTCCTTAATATCACTTTTTAAAAGTTGCTTTGGTTTTTTTAAGAAGTTACCTCAGCCAGATGCAGAGGTTCATGCCTGTAATCCCAGCACTTTGGGAGGCTGAAGCAGGCAGATCATGAGGTTAAGAGATCAAGACCATCCATAGCACTAAAGTAAATCTATGAATTTTCCCATGCAATGTGTGGCTACTGAAGTCTTTTCTGTTAGGGTTTTTCCCTTGATTTTATTTTTAAATAAAACTCGGTTACCTAAGTTTCTCCTGGTGCCTGCATAGCTTAGTGTTCAACCAAACATTAATTAAACATTTGGCTAAAACACCTTGAGCCAGTAAAATTTTCTCTTTCTGTTGATGGATCACTGGGTGCACTGGGGAGTGCATTCAAAGTCCAGCTGTTGTATGTCTTCACTGGCTTTTACATTCTGCAAGGCCTTCTGGAACCTACTTGCTTACCCACTGAGCATTTGCTCAGGATCCATCAGCCTAGAATGTTTGGGTGTCTTAGGTCTGTCTTCCAAGTGTTTGATGCATATCCTTGCAGCCTCTGCTTTAATCGGGATATGCAGAGAGCTTATAAAGCCCCCTATGGCTATGTCATCCCTGGGAAATTCCTGTTAAATCCCACCTAGTTTGCCAATCCATTGCTTGCCCCAAACAAAAGGCAACATAATGCAAGCAAAGCCACCTGCCATCCATGTTTGTTTGCCACTGAGATCACCTGTTTAAACTGATAACAGCTCCACATCAAGTAAGCCTCCTTTGGCCATGGCGGCAAGGCTATTCAGTTTCATGTCCTTCCCCAACCTGGTTGAACTTCACTTACGACAGAACTGGAGTGGTGGAATGGGAGTCCTTCCAGGCAAGAACAACAAAAAAATTCGCTGATCTTACCTGAAATTTAGTGATCTTCATGAATAAACATTTCTCTGATTGTGGTATCTGCCTTTAATTTTATTTCTAGAATGACAAATTATTGTTTTTGACAGTTTTTTCTAGCTTTATAGTTTCTTCTTTGGGAGAGAATGTGTCAACCTAACTCCATCATGGTGAAATAAATCTTCATCTCTTAATTTTTTCTCTCAAAAATATCCTGAGGATTCCCTCTGGAGTCTCCGAAGTAATTGTAGTATCTGGTTTCAATGGCTGGATGATTCAGGATTTCAAGAATCATAGTTACTTTTTAGACCTCCAAAGAAGAAGTGACAACCACATAAACAAAAAAATGCTTCTTAAGTCATGGAGATTCGGGGCTTACTAGCACTGTATTTTGAAACTTTCAGCCTTCCTTTATAACTGATTTAGTATATTTTTCTTTTAATTTCAGATTTCAGCGAAGTTCCTTATGACTTCCCCTGAAATTGCTTCCTTATCATGGGGGCAAATGAAAGTACAAGGCTCTAATACAACCTATAAGGATTGCAAAGTATGGCCAGGGGGCAGTCGGATTTGGGATTGGAGAGAAACAGGAACTGAGGTAAGATATTAGTCTTTGTTTGGAGGCCAAGGCGGGCGGATCACCTGAGGTCGGAAGTTCAAGACCAGCCTGACCAACATGGTGAAACCCCGTCTTAAAAAAAAAAAAAAGGCCGGGCGCCGTGGCTCACACCTGTAATCCCAGCACTTTGGGAGGCCGAGGTGGGCAGATCACAAGGTCAAGAGATCGAGACCATTCTGGTCAACATGGTGAAACCCCGTCTCTACTAAAAATACAAAAATTAGCTGGGCATGGTGGCACACACCTGTAGTCCCAGCTACTTGGGAGGCAGGAGAATTGCTTGAACCCAGGAAATGGAGGTTGCGGTGAGCCGAGATCGCGCCATTGCACTCCAGCCTGGGTAACAAGAGCGAAACTCCGTCTCACACAAAAAATAAAATAAAATAAAATAAAATAAAAAGATATTAGTCTTTGGTTGACACTACATGAAGCTGACCAAGTGATTTCCAACCTCCTAAGGTGTAATGACTAAGTGAAAAGTAACTATTTCTCTTGTCTCTTTTTGAGATATAATTCATATACCATTGAATTCTCCCTTTTAAAGTATGCAATTCAGTGGACTTCTTATATTCATAAACTTGTACAACAGTTACCACTGTTAGTTCCAGAATATATTTATCACCTCAAAAAGAAACCCCATAACCACTACCATTCAATGTCCAGTCACCACCACCTCAAACCCCTAGCAATAATTAATCTACTTTCTGTTGCTATAGATATGGCCTATTCTCGATGTTTTCTATAAATGGCATCATTCAGATATCTTAGGTGTGTTCCTAGGAGTAGATTTCTGGGTTATATAGCGTTTAACCTTTTGAAGTAACTGCCAGACTGTCTTCCAAAGCACCTGTACCAGTTTTACATTTCCACTAGCAATATGACAGTTCCAGTTTTTCACATTCCTCCTCAACACATTGTTCTTTTCATTGTTTTGTTTTTATTAGAACCATCCTATTAGGTGTGAAGTGTTGTTCTCATCGTGGTTTTGATTTGCATTTCCCTGCATTTCCTCCAGTATTCTCAGTGTGCCATGCCCAAGGTAGAGCCTCCTTTCCATGAACATAGGTTGGGCAAAACAACCTTTTGACCCCATTCACCTGGGATGTAGCCTCAACAATAGAAAGATGGGGGCAGGATGAGAGGCACTAAAGTCCCGCTCCTCCTGGGAAGGAAGCCTTCTAGCTAGATACTGAGGGGAGAAAGAGTCTTGTGTTGTTGGCTACAGAAGTTTGGAGAGTAGGTCTCTGCCTCACAATGGGGATGGGGCAGGGAGGCATCTATCTTGATGCTACTGCTGTACATATGCACAGATTCTAACCTGTCTTACCAAATGTCTCAGTGAGTTCTGGCTGCTATAAAAAAATTATCATAGACTGAGTGCTTTAAACAATAAACATTTATTTCTGACACTTTTGGAGGCTGAAGCTGTGAGATTAGGATGCCACCATGGTCAGGTTCTGGTCCTTGTATTAGTTTGTTTTCACACTCCCGATAAAGGCATACCCAAGACTGGGGAGAAAAAGAGGTTTAATGTACTTACAGTTCCATGTCGCTGGAGAGGCCTCACAATCATGGTGGAAGGCAAGGAGGAGCAAGTCACATCTTAAATGAGAAACTCCCATTTTTAAAACCATCAGATCACTTTTTTCTTTTTTTTTTTTTTTTGAGACAGAGTTTCACTCATTGCCCAGGCTGGAGTGCAATGGCACAATCTCAGCTCACTACAACCTCCACCTCCCAGGTTCAAGTGATTCTCCTGCCTCAGCCTCCTGAGTAACTGGGGTTACAGGTGCCCACCACCACACCTGACTACTTTTTGTATTTTTGGTAGAGATGGAGTTTCTCCATGTTGGTCAGGCTGGTCTCGAACTCCCGACCTCAGGTGATCTACCTGCCTCAGCCTCCCAAAGTGCTGGGATTACAGGCATGAGTTATCGTGCCCAGCAAACCATCAGATCTCATGAGGCTCATTCACTATCATGAGAGCAGTGCAGGAAAGACCCACCCCCATAATTCAATCACCTCCCACTGGGTTCCTCCCATGACATGCAGGAATTGTTGGAGTTACAATTCAAGATGAGATTTGGGTGGGGACACAGCCAAACCATATCAGCCCTCTTCCAGTTTCCAGCCAACTTCTCATTGTATCTTTACATGGTGGAGAGGTAGGTAACTTCTGGGCTTCTTATAAGGGCACTAATCTCATTCATGAGGGCTCCATCGTTAGGATCCAGTTACTTCCTATAGGCCCCACCTCTAAATAATATCACATTGGGATTAGTGTTTCAATATATACATTTTTAAGGGACACACATTAAGTACGTGCAGCAAATATTTTTTATAGTTTTTTTTTTTTTTTTTTTTTTTTTTACAAACAGTCTCACTCTGTCATCCAGGCTGGAGTGCAGTGGTGACATCATGGTTCACTGCAGTCTATACCACGTGGGTGAAAGGGGTCTTCCTGCCTCAGCCTCCTGAGTAGCAAGGACCACAGGCATGCAACCATACCTTGCTTACTTTTTTAGTTTTTATAGAGATTAGGTCTCACCACATTGCCCATGCTGGTCTTGAACTCCTGACTCCAAGAAATCCTCCCACCTTGGCCTCCCAAAGTGCTGAGATTACAGGCATGAGCCACCATGCCCAGCCAGATTTTCTTGTATACACATTTATTTATTGGCTATTTGCTCTTAAGACCGTTTCCAGAGGCTTTAGAGGCTTTGTTGTTATTTTGGTGAATTCTTGGTTTGGGTTTTTCTTTGTTGTTATTAATAATTTTCACATAGGAGTGGGTCAGTGGAACTCCTCATGATGTAATGATAGAAGTAGATCCTTCATTTTTGAAGAATAGTTTGTTGGATATAAATTTCTTGATCAACAGTCTTTTTCTTTCAGCACTTTCAATATGCCATCCCACCACTTTTTGGCTTCAACAGTTTCCAATGATAAATCAACCAAGAGCATTATTAGAGCTTCCTTGGACTTGATGGATTGCTTCTCTTTTACTGTTTTCAAAACATATCATAGTGGTTTAACTATGAGATGTCTAGGTATGGATATCTTTGAGTTTGTCCTACTTGGAATTTATTGAGCTTCATGAAGATGTAGATTGTTGGGTTTTTAAAAATCAAATATGGGAATTTTAGAGCTATTATTTCTTCAAGTATTCTTTCTGTTCCTATCTCCCTTTCCTTGTGACTCCCATTATGAATATATTGGTAGGCATTAGGGTGTCCTACAGATCTCTGAGTCTCTATTCTTTGTCTTCATTTCTTTCCTTTGCCTCAGACTGAATAATCTCAAGTGACCTATTTCCAATTCTGCTGAATCTTACCTGCTATTGAGCCCCTGTAGTGACATTTTTATTTCTGCCATTATACTTTTAAACTACAGAATTTTTTTTTTTGTTTTTGAGACAGACTCTTGCTCCATTACCACAGCTGGAGTGCCATTGCACAATTTCGGCTCACTGCAACCTCTGCCTCCCAGGTTCCAGCGATTCTCCTGCCTCAGCCTCCCAAGTAGCTGGGACTGCAGGTGCATGCTAGCATGCCTGGCTAATTTTTGTATTTTTAGTAGAGACAGGGTTTTACCATGTTGGCCAGGCTGGTCTTGGAACTCCTGACCTCAAGTGATCTACCCATCTAAGCCTCCCAAAGTACTGGGATTATAGGCGTGAGCTACCATGGCTGGCCCAGAATTTCTATTTGGTCTTTTCTCTTTTTTTTTTTTAAAGATGGGGTTTTACCATGATGGCCAGGCTGGTCTTGAACTCTTGACCTCAGGTGATCCACCCACCTCGGCCTCCCAAAGTGCTAGGATTACAGGTATGAGCCACCGTGCCTGGCCTATTTGATCTTTTTAACAATTTTTATTTCTTTATTGATATTTTTTATTTGGTAAGATATTGTTATACTTTCCTTTAGTTCTTTTGAACATGGTTTCCTTTAGTTCCTGTTACATATTTAAAAGCACTGATTTACAGTCTTTATCTAGTAAGTCCAATATCTGGGCTTCCTCTAGGATAGTTTCTACTGTCTGCTTCCCCCATCCCCAAATGGACCTGCCTTTCTTTCTTTTTTTTTCTTAATGTCTTTCTTTGTTGTTTTGTTTGTTTATATTTCTCAACCTTTTTTGGTTGAGAACTGGATATTTTACATAATGTAGCAACTCTGGAAATCAATTCCCCCCCATTCTGAAGGTTTTTTGTTGTTATTTTTTGCTGTTATTTCTTCCTGTATAGTTCTGTAAAGTCTATATTCTTTGTGGCTTCTGAGGTCTGCTCATTTACCTTAGTGATGAGCTAATGATTTGACAGAGATTTCTTTACACTGCTGGAATCAGATGTTGAGATTTACCCATGTGTCTACCAGTTGGCTTTCTTATTATTTCTTTTTGTAATTTAGATCTTTTCGAAGTCAATTTCTTCTTTAAAAAAAATCATTATCTGGGGCTGGGCGTGATGGCTCACGCCTGTAATCCTAACACTTTAGGGGGCTCAGGTGGGTGGATTACCTGAGGTCAAGAGTTCAAGACCAGCCTGGCCATCATGGTGAAACCCCATCTTTAAATAAATAAATAAATAAATAAATAAATAAATAAATAAATCCGTATCTGGCCGGGTGTGGTGGCTCACACCTGTACTCCCAGTATGTTGGGAGGCTGAGGCAGGCAGCTCATTTGAGGCCAGGGGTTCAAGACCAGCCTGGCCAACATAGTGAAACCCCGTTTCTACTAAAAATAACAAAAGTTATCTGGGTGTGGTGGTACACATCTTTAATCCCAGCTACTTGGGAGGCTGATGCAGGAGAATCAATTGAACCCGGGAGAGGGAGGTTGCAGTGAGCCAGGATCACAGCACTGCCCTCTAGCCTGGGCAACAGATTGAGACTGTGTCTCAAAAAAGAGAAAAACCAAAAAATCAGGCCAAATGTGGTGGCTCACATATGTAAGCCCAACACTTTGGGAGGCCAAGGCGA